CCCGCTTCTCCACTGGCAGGGCAGCTCTCAATCTTGTGTCCTTGTGCCGCAGGGTGGGGGCAAGCTCCTCACACAGTCTCATGAAAGTGGCTTTTCTCATCCGAAAGTTCTGCAGCCACTGCTCATCATCCCAGACTTCCATGACGATGTGATCCCACCACTCGGTGCTTGTTTCTCGAGCCCAAAAGCGGCGTGCCACAGTGCTGAGCACGTCCGTGAATGCCACAAGCAATTTCGTGTCATATGCATTACGCGGCTCGATAGCATCGTCGGACTCCACACTCTCACTGTCACTTTGGAGCTTAAGGAATAGTTCGACAGCCAAACGTGACGTGCTGGCGAGACTCGTCAGCATACACCTCAGCAGTTCAGGCTCCATTTCCCACAGACAGATCGCGCTGCACAGAAACCGTTGAAAGATGGCGCCAAAGGTGGACGGAAACAAAGGGATTTCTGGGATGCGAAGCGATGCATCACGGGGCATTGGGACAGGACCCAGAATGCCCCGCACCCACGCCCCCTTCCCACAACCCACGGCGCCAGAATGGGAAGAGGTGCTCTGTGGCATAGCTGCCCATAATGCACCGCTCCCAATAGCGCTGCAATTGCCGCAAATGTGGCCACGACAGTGCACTGGGCAGCTGTCCGTGTGGACAGACTGCAGCGCTTTCCCTACTCAGCTGCACGAAGTCAGGTTTAACTCACAGCGCTGTACATCTGCAAGTGTAGCCAAGGCCTAAGGAAGGAGATTCCACCACCTCCCTAGGTAACCCATTCCAGTGCTTCACCACCCTCCTAGTGAAAAAGTTTTTCCTAATATCCAACCTAAACCTCCCCAACTGCAACTTGAGACCAGTGTAGGGCTGGGCAGTGCTCGGCCAGGGGTTGGCGGTGCGGGGCGGGGGCTGGAGCTGGCGGTGCGGGGCCGGGATTGGGGGCCGGCGGTGCCCCAGGGCCCGAGCCAAGCCGGGTGGGAGACGCCGGAGGGCCCTGGGCCGGCCAGCCGCCAAAGGGAGCCGCTCGGCCGGGGTGGCCGGACTGGGCCGCGCCCCCCCGCCCCAGCTTGCCTGTTGCTTCAGGCTTCCCACAAATCAAATGTTCGCGGGAAGCAGGGGAGGGGGAGGGGTGGGGGGGCAAAGCGTCCAGGGGAGGGGCCGGAGTTGGGGCGGGGCCGGGGCCCGTGGAGTGTCCTCTTTTTGGATCCTTAAAATATGGTAACCCTACACTCCAGGTACCCTGTGTCTAGCTCCCTGCAGCCAGGCCCTTCTCTCCCTGAACACAGAGAGAGACACTAGAGCGCCTGGCTCCCAGCCTCTTATACAGGCCAGTGGGTTCGCGTGGCCCCAGCTGCAGCCACTTCCCCCTCCCCCCAAACAGCTCAGCCTTCACACTGCCTGCTCCCTGGGCTCTCTCAGGCCCTTCCAGGCAGGAGCAGGTGGCCACCCTGCTACACCCCTCT